ATAGTATGGTCCATGGCAATTGGCAATGCCAGTTCACTCCAAAGTGGTATCTCTTATGCTTCATAAATTTTATTTGAGAATGTGGCCCATTAATACGACGTATGATAATTTCCTTTAAAGTTATATATAAATGTATTCTCATCACCATCATTTATTACTCTTTAGCAAACGTCTAATAAAAATATAGTATTGCAAAAATACAAAAAACTCATACTATTTTATATATCGTGCTTGTTGATGGTATTGTAAATGAATATCTATCAACAAGCACATTACAAAAACATACCTAGAAAGACAAGGTAAAATTCAAGTAATAAAGTACTCTCGAACATTAATCCAATTTAAACCATATGAGCATAGATAGAGAGGGAAAACCGAAAACATGGGCCTACTTATCAGTCCCAAAAAGAATGAGATTTGAATTTTCTGTAAGCACCAATATGAAATTTGGCACTAGGTATAGAAATTCAGCACTACGTACATAATAATAAGATATAATGCAGTACGATTTTGATAATTTTGAAAGAGATATCAAGCAACCTTCGTAAAAGGGTAACTATGTTATGATCCAATAATTATAGCATTTTGTTTATATATGTAAATAATTGAAAATCTATTTTATAAAATTTCTTGTAGTGATTAATTGGGTAAGATTTTGATGATAGAAGTAATGACATAAATAAATTGGACAAAAATTTGTCTGAAATGAAGATGACAATCAACCCAAAGCTAAAGTTGGCAGTTTCTTACTTCAGTTATCAAGTGGTGAAGTAGTGAACCTTCAAATACATCCTTTTCTTTTATTATTGTGTCACAATTTGTTAGCTTTTTATTAGGCCCCTATACCATGACTCTTAATGTGGCCCTAGGTTTTTAGTAAATTTTTGGTCATATTGTGCCATGCATTTTGCACACTCCTTTGTTTTCCCTTTTCATTAATTAAATTATGACTATGACTTTTTGTATTTTTGCATACAAATAGAATTTGGTTGGGTAGTAGATGCATATAATCCCAATCACTAGCAAATGAGAAGTCTTTTTCAATTTCTTTATAAGATGGATGAATAATTGAGAAAGCTCAAGTCGAGTACTGCGTAATTCAATGAAGATCTATTTGTTTCGAGGAGTAATGTACTTCATTCGTAATGTATCATTTAATTAGGAAATTATCTGGATTATTAGTAATCCATATTTTGTCAAGAACAAAGTCTTAGATATGTAAGCACGTTTGAATATGTAAGCATGTTTGAAATGCTTGATGTTGATAACACTCTAATATACTATGAATTAATCAACAACATGTTTTAAACTTATGCTACTTTCACACGTTGTAACAATTTTAATACTACATCCGTTTAATACTATTTGTGAATTTAAAAAAATAATTTAATAAATATATAGTACCCAAAAAATTATAACTAATACATAATAGAGGTAATATATTAATAAGCAATAGTTTTCATATATGTCTTACAAGTTTAGAGGAGGAGCTAGAATAAAGGTAATTGGTGAAAATAACACTTGGGTGAGATATTTGTTTCTCCAAAATATCTACCTCCTATTATTCTCTCCTGTGTCAATCACCAAGCCTAGTGTTGCCCCTTTCATGTGCCTAGCCCTTCATAACCACCCCACTTGCCTTCTCGTTCCTAACCACCGTCTCCCAGAATGGTAATTCATTCGAGTCTTTGCTTAGCTTAGCTCTTTCATATTCTTCTTTGGTGTTGTCTCCCTCATCGAGGCCGTCTTTCTTCCCTTTCTATATTTTTAACGCCCTACCACAATAAGGTATCGATCAAAGAGGGAGATAAATTTTGTTGATAACTTTTATTAGTCTCATCTAATGTTTGGTTCTACCAGCTAACTCGAACTACTAATAAAAATGGTGATCGATATACAAACAGTTGATCAGTCTAGTTAAGTGAAATAACATATAACTCCTTGCCAAGCAAGGAATTTATGTTTGTGTCACTTTAATAATCTAATTGCACACAAGGTTGAATATTTTACACTTAAAATGCAATAGAAATAAAGTTATACCTAGGGTGAGATAAAAGGGAGTGTTTCAATTAAACATCCACATCGATGCCAAAACTAGAGTCTCCCAATATTTTGTTCTCATATTCACAATATTTCAAGGCATAATAATACTACAATTTGTCCATTAACTTTAATTAAATTAAACAAAAGCTAGAATAATTTCATTTTTCTTATGAGATAAAATGGAGCCCACAAGAAGTGTATAGGCATACTGGCATAGTGATGTAACGTAGATGCAACATCCTTTAACCACTAAAGGCATGCCACATGGTAGGCACCAACAATTTTGATGCTTTGTGGGACCCACCCACACTTAAGCCTTCCATCTTTTTATTTATGCTCTTAATTAAATGAAATTATATAAAGATTAATGTATGGTTTTCAATGAATTAAGAAGTGGACCATTGGCCACTTTATTTAGTTGTCAATTTCAAAAGATTATTATAATAATAAATTAAGTGGCTACCTAATCAAAGGTTTAGTCGAAAAGATGCAATGCCATGTGCATTGTCACTTTCTAAATTATCACCTACCTATTCATCCTTTGTCTTCCTCTACAATATATTTAAGCATGAGGGTTTCAATTATTAATTTTAAAGTCACCAATTTGAGGTGACTTAATCTAGGAATTTTATTTATTTATTTCTCTTACAAAAATTATTATTTGGAAGAAAAGGGTAAGTCGCAACCATACTTTCTTTAAGTGGAATAAAAGCTTCCACTTAAGGAATGAATGTTGAGGCTTAAAATGTGGATTTGCATTTGAATTGTTGAAGTTAAATAGCTTTAATATTGATCGAGACAATATAAAAGAATGGACGGAGATAGTATGCATATACTCAAAACAAAATAATTAATGTATCAATATTGTGTACGTAATAAATTTATGCTCTGTATTATTTTAAAAATGAATAAAGTGCAATCAATTTTGTAAGAAATTTAGTTAAACTAACAAATGAGATTTATTTCTCAATAAATATTGATCTTTTATCGATCTCTACAATCTAAACCTTTTTTTTTTTACTTGTAATATTTTTTATATAAATTAAGCAACATAACCTATATATTGATATGCTATAAATCATTATTATCAACTATAGAGGAACCTATATATGTGATATGCATGATTATATAAAATGAAGAGAAAATATATAACAGCACAAGGGGTTATTCTAGTAATTGTACAAATTAAAGTACAATTACCAAATCATGATATTAATGCAAGTACATCAAGAAACTTGGAACCGTAGAGATAGATATGGATGTTTGTCTTGAAAATGATAATGAAAACTTGCAACCTTACTCAAACTCTAACTTAAGTTTCATCTTTCATGATCAACTATAAGATAATGACACATGCAATGTTAATTTAATTATTATATGATGTCAATGTCATTGTACTCTTGTGATTGCCTCCAAATTATATTTGTACTATAAAATTCAGACATTTCCCATTAATTAAACTGTAAATAGTAAGGTGAAAAGGGTATGAACCACCATATAATTAACAAAACCACCAAAACTGCTATGGATCATATGAGGAGTAATACAGATTTTAATTTTATATCATAATTTGATAAACTCTTAATAGAGTAATTAATAATAAATCCGAATGAGGTTTTCATCTTAACCTTCTACAGTAATACTTCGTTTTGTTTTGGATAAACTCTATATAACAACGAGAAAATGCTAATTCTTCTTGCAGACTAAGGAAGAAAAGGAAATGAAACAAGAAACTGAAAGGAGTAGCATGAAGATATAAAAGAAAGTAAAATGAGATGCATGCATGGCTATTTTTATGTAGATTATATCTTCAATTACGGAGTGTAATTTTATGAGTATGTAAGTAATGTAAAAAGTTCGTTCCTTATCTTCGACCTATTTATTTCAAGCTTTTCATGTTTATTTGTGATCACCATAATTTAAAATATATTCTCTTTATTACCTTATTTTTAATAATTATACTCAGTGGCGGACCTACACGTGTGTACACTGGGTCACGTGACTCAGCAGTGCCAAAAAAAAATAAAAAAAAAACAAGAAAAAACAAAAAAACAAGAAAGAACGGCTGAACGACAAAGCACAAAGGCCCAAAACGCGTGAAAGAAAGAACGGAAACCTCACAGCCCTAAATCCCTCTCTCGCAATCTCGCATTCGCCGCTACTAGTTCGCCGGAGCAGCCAACCACGCCTGAGCAGCCTACCTTCAGTCTTCACACGTTCATCCGTTCGTCCCCTTCGTCGTTCAAACAACAAAACGGTGGAATCGTGGTTCGTCGTTCATCCCTAAGGCCCGACTCGGCCGACTGCCCGACTGGACGGCGCCCTCACCCCTCGGAATCTCAGATCTACGCCAGTAACACCACCGAGCATGGCGAGCAGCCGTCTGTCTAGCACGGACCACCGAATCACCGATTGAAGGATTTGAACTTTGAAGGCAGGCGCCAGCAAGCAGTGAAGCAGCAAGGTATTTACTAATTTACACCTTTTAATTTGTTTTGTTAATTATAAATTTGTATAATTTTAGTCATTTGATTGATTAAATTGAACTGAATTGTTGATTTGTTGTTCATTTTTGTGTTAATAACTTAATTAATTATAATTTCAGATTTTCAGTCATTTATAAATTATAATTTCATAGTCTTGATCTCTTGAAAATTTGAAAATTGAAATTGTCAAAATGACAGGTTGTTGGCCTTGTTGCTTGTTGTAAATCTTGTAATGTTGTTCATTGTGGATTTGTGGTGTGGATAATTTGTGGTGTTGAAATGCAGAATTGTTGATTAGGTGGTCATTTGATTCAGATTTGATTGATATTTGAATGTATTATGTGTATTCAAATGAATTGAAATTGTGTAATGTGTATATATGATTGTATAAATGAATTGCTGATTTTTTTTCGTAATTGCTTATTTGCTTAAATGATTTTCAGAATGAAGCGGAAACGTACTCCAAATAAAATGCAGAATATCGCTAGTTTCTTTGCTAAATGTAATCCTCATCCTCCTAGTCAACAAAATTCTTCTCCAAATGAACAAATTTCCACTCCACATCATACTAGTGAACAACATACCTCTCCCACACACAGTTCACCTCAAATTTCCCCTCAAAGATCACCTCATAATTCCACTCACAACTCCCCTCAAAATTCCACTCACAACTCCCCTCAAAATGAAGTGGAACACTCTAGTCCTCTTAATGCTTCGGGAGATGGTGTTAGATTAAGTGAAAATGATCTTGCCAATCTTCCTCACGACCCGGGATTGAGAAAAAAGATGAGTGATTTCCATCCTGATGATAGAGACTTAGTGAGGATAACTTACATTCAAAAAGGGCCATGCCAACCTAAAAACCATGTATTTCCTCAAAGACTCACTGCCCCTAAAAAACGTCGATTTTGTGTGAAGTGGTTTGAAACTTGGGGTTCTTGGCTGAATATAGTGTGGAAAAGGATGCTGCCTATTGTTTCATTTGTTACTTATTCAAGGATGAAAATGCATTTGGAGGTGATGCATTTGTTACTGATGGTTTTCGATCTTGGAATAGATTAGACATACTAAAAGCTCATGTTGGTAAGCACATGAGTGCTCACAACAATGCCGTGTTAGCTATAGATTTGTTCAAGAAACAAAAGTCAAGCATCACCACTGCATTTTCAAAACAAAGCAAGGAGTCTATGAGTAACTATAGGAAGCGATTGGAAGCATCAATTATTTCTGTACAATGGCTTTTAGTTGGAGCATTGCCTTTTCGAGCTCACGATGAAAAAGAAACTTCTTCAAACAGAGGTAATTTTCTCAGACTTTTGACTCTTGTTTCAGAACTACATCCTGATTATTCAAAAGTTTGTTTGAAAAATGCTCCTGGTAATTGTCAACTTACTTCTCCGGTTGTTCAAAAAGACATCATAAATGCATGTGCAAAAGAAACTACTAAAGCAACACTTGAAGATCTTAATGGTGGTTTTTTTGCTATTCTTGCTGATGAGTCGGCTGATATTTATGATAAGGAACAAATGGCTCTTTGTTTGAGATATGTAAATAAAAAAGGAGAAGTGTGTGAACGTTTACTTGGTATTGTGCATGTTGGGGATACAACTTCTTTAACTCTTAAGGCTGCTATTGAGTCATTATTAATTCAACATTCTTTGTCTTTCTCTCAAGTAAGGGGTTAGGGTTATGATGGGGCTAGTAATATGCAAGGTTCAATTAATGGCCTTAGAACCTTAATAGAGAAAGAATGTAAACAAGCATACTTTGTTCATTGCTTTGCTCACCAACTTCAGTTGACTCAAGTTGCACTTGCTAGAAAGAATCCTGATTGTGCTTGGCTCTTTAGTGACATGCTTGCTCCTCTCTTGAATTTTTTGGGTTGCTCACCAAAGAGGAAAGAATTTCTTTGTGAAAAACAAGCTCAAGCAGTTGTTGATGCATTATCCCTAGGTGAACTTGAAACGGGTTCGGGTTTAAATCAAGAACGGGGGTTAGGAAGACCTTGTGACACCCGTTGGGGTTCCCACTTTAAAACACTTGTAAATGTTCTTGATATATTTCCTTCAATCCTTGGCTCACTTGATGACATTGCTAAAGCTGCCGAAGCAAAATCTATGGCATATTATTTTAACAAAGCACAAAGTATTATTGGTTGGTTAATGACTTTTGATTTTGTGTTTGTGGCTCACTTAATGGTTACTATATTTGCAATTACAAATGAGTTGAATGTGGCTTTACAAAAACATGATCAAGATATTGTTAATGCAATGGCCATGGTTAACGTAACCAAGGCTAATTTGCAAGAGTTGAGAGATGAAAGATGGGATTCCTTTATGGAAAAGATCTTGTCTTTCACAACCAAATATGAGATTGAGGTTCCAGATATGAATGCGACATATGTTGTTCCCGGGAGAAGGATGTTTAGAGGTAAGCGTCCGGGAGTGTCAAATCTTCATCATTTTTGAGTTGAGGTGTTTCTTTTATTGTCATTGATCTTAAGTTACAAGAGCTTGAAAATCGATTTCCCGAGATAAGTAAAGAACTTCTTGTGTGTATGTCTTGTTTTAGTCCAGTTAATCAGTTCTCTTCTTTTAACAAAGTTAAATTGACCAAGCTAGCAACATTCTATCCAAATGAATTTTCAAGCTCGGAATTGATTTACTTTGAACACACACTTCAAAATTACTTTGTGGCCGTTAGATCGAGATGATGAAAGGTTTTGGAATTTGAAGAGTCGTAGTGAATTGTCAAAGAAACTCGTTGAGACGGGATTGTCCGAAACTCATAGTAGAGTATACTTGCTTTTGAAGTTGGTGTTGGTTCTCCCCATTGCAACGGCAAGTGTTGAAAGAGTGTTTTCTGGTATGACGATCGTGAAAGATAAATTGCGTAATAGCATGGGAGATCAAATGTTGAATGATTGTTTGATTACTTTTCTAGAAAGTGATTTGTTTTCGAATGTTAAAATAGATCACATTATTGATCGATATCAAAATATGAAAACTCGTCGTGAACAATTGTAATAGTTTATTGTACTATGTGATTGTAATATATTATTTGTAGTACTTTTAGTTTGTAAGATGAATTATTTATGTACTATTTGGTTGTAGTATATGTTTCGGGGTTTTCTGATGTCCTGCGGGAGAGTTACAATTCCGAGACTGGAACCGGACGCCTGTACCTGCAAAACAAACGGATGCTCCGGATGATTGGAGATCCGCCTCCGACGGTCAAGTTAGTACTTGATTAAGGAGTAATTAATGCGGAAATTAAAGTGATTGGGTCTCTCTAGGTGAGAGTGTTTAATGTGTGTAATATGCGTCCTCTCCCTTAAGGAGGATTAAGGGAGGTATTTATAACCTCGGGAAACGTACCAATCTAGGTTTAGGTTAACCTTGGGCTGATTGGGCTTCCCTCGGAAGTTGGGCCTAGGTGACCGGCTTCTCCATTAGGCATGGAGTATGCCACATGTCATGACATAATAAGTCCAGGGTGGACGAATAAGCGTGTGCCACGTGGCAAGCCCTGAGAGGTCCTACTGGGGGACACTTGGCAGGACCTGATTGGCCCACGTGGCGCATTCCGATTGGTGGGAGAAAAATCCCCTAATCATTTGCCCCTCACAGGTGGCACGTGACTGGTCACGTGTTACCTGTGACAGGTGTCGCCCTGTAACAGGCGACGACCTGCTACAGGTGTCACTCGGCGAGAGGCCGAGAGATTCTCCCGCCAAAATTTTGAATTCTGGAAGTGACCCTTCGCCTTCTCACTTCGCCTATATAAAGGAGTGTTGACTTCGGTCATTTTCACACTTGAAAACTTTGTGAGAGAACATTCGGACCCCTGAACTTGCTCTGACATTTTGGACCCTTTCTGCCTACCGCCTGCTCTGACAAGCCGACTGCAAAGGATTTTCAGAACTTCATCAATCGTCACTCGTTCAGGTAACCGTCGGTTCTCTTACTCTTAATTTTCTCTTTACTTTATTCTTTTTTGAAATGGCACCACGGAAGCACACGACACGACCTAGGTTAGTGATCAACCGGTCACCGGGGACGGCTGAATCTAGGACTAGGAGTGTCGCCTGCCCTTTTCTGGACCCATCTTTGCCCTTTATACAAAGTCCGACTGTATCTGTGTCTATGCAGAGCATGATGGCCAGAACAAAAAAGACTGTCAGGATCTCAAACTCAGACGGCTCCTCCCACAGGGTGCCGATTAGTGAAACATCTGACCAGGCGCCAGATGTGGAAGTGAAACAAAGGGGCTTGAAATCCGGCAGTTCTGAGGGAGGAGTCAAAGTGACCCCTTCCCATTTTACAGTTGACAATTCTATATTCTCTCCTGCTCCTTTTAAAGGAGAGAAGGCGGGCCCCTCCGGGAGAGGGGAGGAGTCGTCCTCTTCGGACTCGTCAGAGGACGATTCCGAGTCTAGCTCTTCTGGCCATGCTTCTCTAGACACAGAAGAGAAAAACAGTCGCCTACAAGACGATTGGGCGGAGCCATCCGCCTCTCACCGAGAGCAAAATACCCCCTACTACTGCACGGTACCTCGGGGCCGGATCACGGCCATGCAAGAGAAAGTGGAGAGCTTTATCGCAAACCACACAATGGGCCCCGGCTTTTTAGTGTTTGTGCCGGATCCAGAAGAAACAGTCGTCTGGCCGGCTGGTACCAGTTATGATGGCGCCTGCTTTGGCTGCTACGAGGCGGCCATCAAGGCTGGGCTGCGCTTCCCACTACATCCGGTTGTTCAGCGGATCTTGGATGGGTATGAGTTGGGGTTATGGCAGTTAGCCCCGAACTCCTGGGTCAACGTACTCGGCTATGTGGCCGGGTGCGAACTGCACGGGGTGGAGCCGAACTTCGAGGCTTTCGCCCACATGAACTACCTCAGCCGGACCCCTAAGGCAGGCGGTACCGGCTGGTATCAATTGACGAGCCACAGGGGCTACCTCATGACGAGAGGTAAAGCAAACAAATGGAAGGACTGGCGGAGCACCTTCCTTATCATTGAGAGTTCAGACACAGAGCTGAACAAGCGCTTCAACAGGTGGAACAGGAACCCGCCCCTTCTTGCAGGCGGCCGCAGCATGCCGCCTGTTCCCCCCAAGGCTAAGAAAGAGATCTTAGATAAAGGACTCTTCAAAGTAGAGTCGAAGGTGAACTCTACTTCAGGGGTACGAGAGCAAGTACCCCTGCACTGCGTCCCGAGCTTCAAATGGCTCTACGACGAGTACTTTTTGGCCGCCTGTGGCCTCAGCAGTCGGTGCTCAAGAGGTAGCCGGCCTGTCGAATACTCTGTTGTTCCGTGCATTTCTTGTTATGACTTTTATTAACTTTGCTATTTGTTTTTGCAGCGGACGCCATGAGCAAAATTACCACCTCCAAGACTGCGGCGGCCATGTTGCGGGCCTCCATCATGCAACAGTCTTCAACCGACTCCCCCAACAAGGGGGCACCCTTGGTGGGCTTCGAACCTTTCACCCTCTTTTTGGAGTTGTGTTTATGCATATACTGACTCTTTTCTTCTTTTTTAGACGGGCGCTCCAAGAGCTTCTTCTTCCCAACAGTCGGAACCCAAGGCCCGGAGGACGACTGTTGCGAGCTCTCCTGGTTCTGCCAGGAAACATGCGGCGGCTGAGAAACAGCCGGCCACTTCTTCTAAAACTCCAGCTGGGCCACCTAGAAGTATGAAATTGTCCTTGTAAATTTTAGACTTGCTCCCTCCTTTACTAGGTCTAATCCGTTTGTTTATGCTTGATGCATCCGGCCCTCAGGAGCCTGACTTGGTCGAAGTGGCCAAGTCTATGATCAAGGTCGTACCTCCAGCTGAAAGGGAGGCGGTCAGGGGTGTCGGCACCCTTGACCTAGACGGGATTGCAGGGGTCCTTGCTGAGGTATACTTAGCATATTTTTGAGTATTTGAATTCCAGGACGCCTGTTTTCTTTTTTGTTTGGAAAATGACGCCTGTTCCCCTTTTTACTTAGGCCCTGCTCCGAGTGAACGGCCTTCGCAAGGCGCTTGACCGGAAGAACAAAGAGGTAAAGGCTGCAAAAGCTATGGCCGCCTCTGACTGTGATAAGGCAATGTTTCAAATTGCCCAAAATGAAGTTCTGACAATTGATATTCTTTATTATCAGGCGCAGGCTACCGCCGCTATCCGGGCTCAGTTAGAGGCGGCCCAGAAGAGGAATAGCGAGCTGGAGGCGACCATCAACAACCTCAAGACCGAGCTGAGACCTCTTCGCCAAAAGATGTCCTCATACGAAACCTTGGAGAAATCCTTGGCGAGCGTAAAGGAACGCCTGGTGACCCAGGAGAAGAGTCTTACTCAGGAGCTCTCGGAAAAGGCCGAGCAAGAAAAGAAAGAGCTGGTCCGGGAGATGATGGAAGACTCTGCTCAAATCCAGCGCATGACTTGGGGCCGCCTCTTCCCTAATGCCGACTTTGCCTCCTGGGAAAAAACGTACCGCTAGTGTTCTGATAGATATAATCAAGAGATCCTGACGGCTGCTGAGGAAGAGGCGTTGGAGGAGGAGGAGCAGCCGGTAGTGGCGCTTGTGCCGCTTGGGGGTAATGCATCGAAGAAGGATGCAGCTGAAGCCGAGTCCAGCAAAAAGAGTGCTGACCAGGCGGCAGCTGCTAATATTGAAGATCTGCCCCCTTCATAAGCTTTATGTCTTCTTTCCCCGGCCTGCGTGCCGTTTGTTTGTATTTACCCGGCCAGGGGGCCGGGGCTCTGAATATTTTTCCGGTCTTTAATAACCGGCTTCCTTTTAATGAATATTTTTGTTTTGCTTCAAATTTGTTTAAGTATTGAATATTCTGATATCCAATTGTACACTATACCGACTGTTTTACATGGCCGATAGTTGCAGACAGGTACGGATAGTTAGTCACGCCGCCTATGCCCCTGGACGACTGGTTGTCTGTTTCCAGGCTAGACGATCAGTCGGCCATTTATCCAATCGGTATTCGAACCATTTTAAAGACTGGATCCCCTTTAGGCAGGCGGTCCTGTCATTTGTAAAATTAACCAAGTAGGAAAGTGGTTTCCTACTTGTCATGTTTTTAGGCTAGAGACTTTAGGCCGTCTAGGCCGACTGTTCCCCGCCATATTTAATCTAGTGTGAACAGGTGTTGTATGAACACCTTTTTAGTTTCATACTAAATTTTTAAGGAGTGACCAAGTAAACATGATTGTTACCTAGTCGCCAAGTAACTGAGTAGTAGAGGTATCAAGCGGTGGGTACCGGTTGTTCCCCTTTATTCGCCAATGTTTGTTGGCTTTTAACTCATAGGTTGTTAACCTAGCAGGAGTAGTGGTTGAGAGCCCCTGTTTGCTAAAAACAGGCGGACGACTCATACCTTTTAGGCTCCATACTAAGTTTGAGAGAGTGACTATGAGTTAACTTTGGTGTTACTCAGTCGCCGTCACTCATGCTTGAGTAGTAAAGGTACCAGGCGGCGGAGGCCGGCTGAACCTTTTGATTCGCCAATGTTTGTTGGCTATTAACTCAAGAGGTACCCCCTGCATTTATCCCAAGTAATACAGGCGTTCATCTGACTCAGATGTCAACTGCTACCACTGGTTTGGTTAGTGATAGAGTTATCCTTGTCTCAAAAACGGCTACGTGGTTGCCCTTGGGGACAGTCGTATAGGTGCTGTGTAATTAGTTTATAGAGCAATGTTCCACCCAAAAGGGAGCTGCTCTCTGCGACGAATTTCATCCGGAGGGATGCCGCCGGACGCCTGCTATGATGTTGGGACAGGTCGTATTAGTTTGGAAGATTGGATCAGTTGGCTTGGCGCCTGGTCTGATCATTCGGCATGTGGCCTTGGTTAGTCCTTTGGTGGACGCAGATGCTAAGTAAGAGGAGGGCAGCTGCCAATTTAGGCACAGGGTCGGCCAGGCCACCATCATTTTTAGCTAAGTAAGGAGGGTGGTTGTCTGTCTTGGAATCGACTGTATGTCCAGACGACATGCCCCTATGGTGACAGAGTAAAATATTCAATGG